ATATTGGAAGCAATTTAGCAATAATTCCAACAATATAAAATCGTTAGAAAAATAATAGAAATAAAAGGAACATAATTCTTACTTTGATTTTGTTTGCTTGCAACTATAAAATAATAAACGAGTTAGTAACTTCAAGGAAATAATAATAAAACAATAATTAAATTAAATTAAATAGAATTGATCAGGGGCCAAACCCTCAAACAGTTCTACCTTTCACGCCTTGGCTTAAGGACAAAACCACGAGTAAAGTATGGACTTCTTGGAGTGCTTGAAGAAGGAATTTTGAAAGAAGAAGGGTAGGCTAGTTTTTAGGCTAGAGAATATAAGAGAGAAAAATAGAGAATTAATTGATGTCGTACACCAGAAATGAGGGGGTATTTATAGAAAAAATGTGCTGAGGGAACACACGGAACCCTAAAATGATAAAAACCCTAAAAATATATACCGCGACAGGGCAAAGTGTACCGTGACACGGGAAATCCCACCGTCAGACGGGAAGCGTTCCCGTGACACGGTGTACTATAGTGTGACGCGGGAAATATTCAGTGAACGGGGGAAAAAACGCGTTAAGGGTTTACGCGGAAAGGACACGGAAACTCCTGTGTCACATCAGGTGTCCCGTGTCACGGGGAATCTCACCGTCAGACGGGAGAGTTTCCCGTGACACGGTAGAACAACGCCGTGACGCGGGAGTTTTTAGCCCGTTTTTCCGTCCAAATTCATTTTTAACCCTAATTTCGTTCAGCATTTTAAGTGCCGATTGATAATTTCGGGCCATTTCTGATTTATTATTATTTGGGCTAAAATAAGAAAATAAGTAAATAAAATAAATAAAAGGTTTGGGCCAAAATAATAAAACAATAAAATAAAAAAAGGTTTGGGCTAAAATTAAAAAACTAAGCTTTGACTAAAAATCAAAACTGATCCATGGACTATTCAAAAATTGAATTTAATTAAATACGATTTTTTAAGCACTCTCGGGATTAAATACTGAACCCGACCAATAGTGGCGGTGAAAGGTTGTTCATCATCGGGCTTGGTTTTGGGGAGACATTTTTAGATGTCTATAATAGTGTAGTTGGGTTGGGCTCGAAAAGAGAATTCCAACGATATATTATAAGCCCAATTCCAATGCATAATGAGGAAGTTATGGATTAAATTAAATTTGGCCCAATGTTTTTATATGTGGCCCAATGGTCTAGAGGAGGGCCTATTAATTATTATTATTCCTAAAGTAATTAAGATTGATTTTAATCTTCAAGGAATATCTAGAAGGTTTATTTTAATTCTAAAGAAATTAAGATTGATAATTATATTTTTAATTATATGTTTTATTTTGAATAAAATACGTGATTGGTCACAAATATGATTTTAATCTGCTTAACGCGGAATTACCTGCTTAATCGTTTTAAGAAGATGATTCCATGTACAAAGTGCGTTGTACTTTTGACTTAGCGCGAGACGACAGGGTTGTCGCCTGACGCTAACAGCTATCGCCTGGCGCTGCTCCTGCCGTCTGGTGCTAACTCCTGTCGTTGGCGACATGAGGTATTTTATTCCGGATATGACTTGATTTGATTCCGAGCTATTTTTCTATAAATAGGGGTCGTATCTCCCCGTTTTTAATAATTCACAACCATTATCTCTCTCTATTCTTTCTTTAAAAGCTAGAAGCTTTCTCTCTCTCTATTTTTTTTCTAAACCTTCCCTCTCTCAAAATTCCACATTCATTAGTTCTAGGCACACCTAGCCAAGTTCGAAGTTATCTTCGCCCTAGACGTGAAAGGTCGATACTTTCTGAGGGTTTGTTCGCAAATCCCTATTTCAATTATTTAATTTAATTGTTTGATTTATTATTTTCCTTGAATTTACTAACGTGTGTATTTTGTTATATATTAGAAAGAGATACGAGGTATCGAAGTAAGTAATTTAATTGCTTTATTGATCTTTTGATATAGAAATCATGCTTAGATTATTTTGTTGAATCCTAGTATCATGTTAGGATGTTTTGTTTCTTCCTAGTATCATGTTTAGGGTAATAACTAATTATAATATCATGTATATTATTATGATGCTTCCTATTTCTTTTCTAATATCATGTTAGTGTCATGTTAGGGCTAATTGATCTTTATTGCTTAGTGACATGCTAGGGTTTGTTATTAATCTTGTTAGTATCATGCCTAGGATCTTGCTAATATTATTATGCTTTGAGAATATTATTATGATTATTATTATGTTGCTTGATATATATTATTGTTATTTCTTGATCACACATTTTATGAATGTTTAAAGGGAATTTGTACTTGTAATCACGCTTAATAAGATAATTAATAATCTTAATATGATTATAATTCAAGTGATTGTCAATAATAGGTTTGTTTGTGTATTAATATTCAACCAACATAGATTAAACAGGTTTAGGGTTAATCTATTGGTTGCATGTTAGTCAGAAATCGCACATGAATACGAGAAGAATAAAGTAGAGGCCTATTTTTAGGGCAAGTTCAATCTCTTTTAGGTTGGATTTGTACCTTCATCCCTGAACTTCCAGTCATGGTTCCAGACCTATTGGAATTAACGATCTCCTAGATCGTTAAGGGGTGTAACCTTCACCCTGTGAACGGTTTACAAGTTCCTAAAACTTGTTGGAGACTCTTTTACTCTAGCTTCCTTCCCTTTGAATGCCACCATGCTTAAGTGTACTGTATGATCACAGTGGGGCTCAAGTGTGGGATGGCTTGAAATATTCCCCACATGAGCAAAGAAAGGTTCACTTACTAGCTTGGGAAACACTCCAAAGGCCGAAAGATCAAGGTGGTATTGGGATTTATTCGGCTAAACAAGTGAACGCCGCATTTCTCACAAAGCTAGGATGGGGTGTACTATCTGAACCAAATGCTCTTTGGGATAGAGTGCTTCGAGGCAAATATTGCAAAGGTTGTTGCGATGTCGAGATGTTCAAACCAAAGGCTGGAATGTCCAACGTTTGGAGTGGCATAACTGAAAATGCCAAGTTCATAGAGGAAGGGGTTCGAACAGCAATATGGGATGGCAGAAACACCTTATTTTGGGAGCATAGATGGTGCACTGACCAACCCCTAAAAGATTTTGTCATGCAGCCAATTCAAAAAAAGATAGCAAAGGTCACAGTTCAAGAGATGTGGGAAGAAGATCAGATGTTGGCTAGATATGGAACATTTTCTGCCCATATCTCGATGAGATTTCACTCAAAAAAATCCAAAAACACGAGGTGAGAAAAGATCTAATCTTGGGTGATTTGGTGTATTGGAAAGATGGAAGCAAAGGGAAATTCACCATTCGATCAACCACTTGCATCACGCATCATCAGACAGATGTTATAGATGATGAGTGTTGGGATATAGTTTGGAAAGCCCCGGTCCAACAACGCATCAGAGCATTTTTATGGTTAGCTTGCCATGATAGGGTGCTTGGGAATTTAAACAGGTTTAAAAGAAAACTCACAGATGACCCAAAATGTTATATATGTGGTGCGCAAGAAGAAAGCACACTGCATATTCTTCGAGACTGCCCAACTGCAAGAGCAGTTTGGAGGCAAATGCTCACTCCTTCGATAAGCCATCAATTCTATCAAGGAAACATTAAGGAACGGATTGTTCAAAATATGAAAAATTCGAACCAAGATGATGAAGAAAGTTGGGTTACTTATTTTGGAGTAGCAATTTGGTGGATTTGGAGGTGGAGAAATTGCTTCACCTTTAACAAGAGGGATGAATTTCCCATTGATTTTGTAGCTCTCTTACAGGTTCGATATGAAGAGGCCAGAAGAGAACTAAGAGGGATTCTAGGCAAAGAGCAGGGAGCTGCTAATAGGAAGAAACAGATTTTTGTGGCTTGGCAAGCCCCTGATTATGGATTGTATGCACTAAACTGTGATGGAGCCGTAAAAGGGAGCCTACGTCCAGCAGGAGGGGGTGCTATTATTTGAGATTATAATGGCAAATTTGTTGCAGCATTCCATTCAAATTTTAGCTATAGCACTGCATTCAGAGCTGAAATAATGGCCTTGACTAGAGGATTGGAGTTAGCTCGTAATCTGCAAATTGATAAGCTAGAAGTTCAGATGGATAATATTGCATGTGTCTAGGCCTTAAGTAAGAAGGTGGTTCCAAGAGGAGAAAACATTCACGACATTACTTATTGTTAGAAGCTGCTAAATGATTCAAGCTGGTCAACTAAGGTTGCACATGTGTTTAGAGAAGGAAATACAGTGGCCGATTGGTTGGCCAACCGTGGAGTCATTTATAACTCTCCTCGAGAGTATATTTATGATGTTCCGGTTGAGCTTAGTCGTATTTTAGAGGAAGATTCTAGGGGCGTGGCTATACCACATTTAGTCCCTCCATATGTAGTTTTTTTTTGTTTGTTATCTTTTTTTTTTTGCTTTTTCTTTCTTTTAGTCTGTACCTCATTTGAATAAAAAAAAAGGCAAATCAAATGGCTTGAAGTCTTTAATCTTTATATGACAAAAGACTAAAGACATTAAGATATTACACCATATTTCACTACATTCAACCCACCTTCATTCCTACAATATATTAAATTGCATTAAAATAAAAGAAGGGTATAAATTTAATAAAGTGGAAGAAGGAAAAAACAAGTGTTGTTTGCTAAATCGTTTCATAATAATCGCAATACTTTGACCAACACATACCGCACACATGTCAATGTACGCCTTTGATTGTATTTATATATGATTAAAAAGCATGAATTGTTGTTACAATTGGAAATACAATTATTGTAGACCCAAAATTTGACACTTTCAAATAATATAATCACATTTTGGATGATATAATCACTTTTTTAGATGATATAATTATCTTTTTGTGAGTCATATTTTGATCTCATATTAAACCATTTAATGAGATTATATAATTATCTTTAGGATGATAAAATTTAAAAATCATCTTTTGAATGATGTAATTTACTATTTAATACTTTTTATAATGATAAATTCACTTTTTGAGTGATACATTTACATAATAGTTTCAAGATGATATAATCACTTTTGTAATAATATAATCACATTTCGTATGATATAATCACATTCGTATGCTATACTAGAAGGTTGGATCTACAATAAGTTATTGTAGACCGGGTCTATTCTAGTCTTAATAATGAAAATATACATAAATGATAATCCAAAAATATTTTACATGAACATAAGTATATTTTTAATATATTGGTAAAAAAAAGAAAAAAAAAATGAATTTACTATTTAGTATTTACCCTTTTGCTACGGATTTTATAAAGAGATAAAAAAAATTAATTAAAAAAAAAAATCGTGTAAACCTCTTGCATAATTTCGCTGTAGAGAAATCAGATTTAGGTCTCAAAACATTGGCTTTCTGCACTGATTGAATTCCTATCATCATAATTCACAATCATCATCTTCTTCCTCAATTCGGACAATCAATACCATTCACAAACCCCCTTTTCCTTCATTTCTACCCCAAAAAAAACACCTCAAATTCTTCTCCTAAAACCTTCAACAGTCAATCTTGGATTCCCCACAATTCTGAAATACCCCATCAAATCAAAATCATATATATATAAAAAAAAACTCAATCCAATTCATCAATGGCGAATTCATCTATAATGGACTCATTCTTTCAACGCTCAATAGATGATTTAATCAAAGGAATTCGACTTCATTCCCCAGAATCATCAACACCCCTTTCATCTTTCCTCTCAAAAGCTATTGAAGAAATTCGTCGCGAAATAAAATCAACAGACCCACAAATGAAATCAACTGCACTTCTCAAATTAACTTATCTTCATTCAATTTATGGGTTTGAAATTTCTTGGGCTGCTTTTCATGTAGTAGAAGTAATCAGTTACCCTCAATTCAATTTCAAAAGAATTGGGTATTTAGCTGCTTCTGCTACTTTCAATGAATCTACTGAAGTTCTTCTTCTTGTTACGAATCAATTCAGGAAAGATCTTTCCAGTTCTAATGATTTTGAGGTCAGTCTTGCTCTTCAATGTTTATCAATTATTGGTACGCCTGATTTGTGCCGTGATTTGTGCAATGATTTGTTTACATTGTTGTCTAGTACTAGACCTTATGTTAAAAAGAAGGCGATTGCTGTATTTCTGAGGGTTTTTAACAAATACCCAGATGCTGTTAGAGTGTGTTTTAAGAGATTAGTTGATAATTTGGAGAGTACTGATCCTCAGGCTGTTTCGGCCGCTGTTGGGGTGTTTTGTGAGCTTAGTTTACGAGACACGAAAACGTATTTGCCATTAGCGCCCGAGTTCTATCGAATTTTGCTTGATTGTAAGAATAATTGGGTGTTGATCAAGGTGTTGAAGATGTTTGCTAAGTTGGCATTGTTAGAGCCTAGGTTAGGGAAGAAGATTGTTGGTCCAATTTGTGAGATTATGCAGCGGTCCATGGCGAAATCATTGGTGTTTGAGTGTATAAGAACTGTTGTGAGTAGCTTGAGTGATCATGAGTCTGCTGTTAAGCTTGCTAGTGTGAAGATTAAGGAGTTTTTGAGTGAGGATGATCCTAATTTGAAATATCTCGGGTTACAGGCGCTTTCTGATTTAGCTACGAAGCACTTGTGGGCTGTGTTGGAGAATAAGGATGTTGTGCTTAAGTCTCTTAGTGATGTCGATTCTAATATCAAGCTAACTTCGTTGCGGCTTCTCATGTCTATGGTGTCAGAGGATAATGTGGCTGAGATTACCAAGGTTTTGGTTAATTATGCCCTGAAGTCTGACCCTGAATTCTGTAATGAGATCCTCAGATCGATACTGGTCACTTGCTCTGGGAATTATTATGAGATTGTTTTTGATTTCGATTGGTATGTATCACTTCTTGGGGAAATGGCTAGGGTTCCACATTGTCAATCAGGGGAGGAAATTGAGAACCAACTTGTTGATATTGGTATGAGAGTAAAGGATGCCAGACCTGAGCTAGTCAAGGTTGGCCGGGACCTTTTAGTTGATCCTGCATTACTTGGTAATCCTTTCTTACATGGGATACTATCTGCTGCCGCGTGGGTTTCTGGTGAGTATGTTGAGTTTTCAAGTAACCCATATGAACTGATGGAGGCTTTGTTGCAGCCACGTACTAGTTTACTGCCATCGTTAGTAAGATCTGTCTATATTCAGTCCACATTTAAGGTTTTAGTGTTTTGCCTTCAGTCTTATCTCTGGCAGCAAGATGTAGTGGATGCTTCTTCCGTTGCTGATGATATGGCATCTTTAAGCTTTGAATCTAAGTCTGGATTGAAATGCCTTGACAGCCAAGATAAGTCAACACATGAAGCTGTTGCAAATTCTAAGCAAATGATGCCTGAGTCTGCAGTCGAAGAATCTTACTCTTGGTCATTTGGTGACTACGGCATTGAAGGTGCCGTGCAAGAGAAACCCACTTTATCGTTGCCCGAGAGAAAAACTTCATCCCAAGATGCAGTTGTTAAGCTGCTAAATATGACTGAAACAGCTCTAGGACCATTATTATGGAGCGATGAAGTGGAAATACAAGAAAGGGCACGGAATATTCTTGGAGTTGTGCATTTAGTAAAGGAAGACGTTCTTCATTGTTCTGGACATCATGTTGACAAATCAGGGAAGAAAGACTTTGAAGTTTCTGAAATCGCTAATCTCTTTGATGATCTTTTTGTTGAAGAGCTTGGTCCAATCTCAGTAACTGCTCAAGCAAGAATTCCTGTACCTGATGATCTTACTCTTAAAGATAATCTCACTGATTTGGACTTGATTTATAGCGACATTCAGCTAAATCCACCATCTACATTTAGCCTTGGAACTTCTCGTTCCAGTGAGAAAGATGATTATTTTCACTCTAATGACCAAGGTGCAGAAGATGTAGATTCGTCAACAATATCTGGATCTCTGCTTGCACAGCACCGCAAAAGACATGGATTATATTATCTTTCTTCAGAAAAGGATGACACAGGTTCTAATGATTACCCTCCCGCAATTGAAAGTAAAAATCTGGACAAGAACGGTAATGAAGTGAATGATCTCGTGAAATTGACTGACCAATCACTTAAACTTAAGAAAAAACCAAGCCATGCTAAGCCTAGGCCAGTGGTTGTCAAACTGGATGAGGGTGAAAATTTCATACCTACAAAAAAGTTGGAGATTACAGAGGATTTGCTTTCTGGTGCAATTAGGGATGTTCTCTTAGGAAGTGAAGAAGTGTCTACTTCATCAAAATATAGTGAAGCTGATAAGCAACTTGTCGAAAGAAAAGGAAAGGAAACACTTGTCATTGACGGTCATCCTAATCTGAGAGAACAGTCTGTTGCTGTAACCTCTGTGGTTGGGAATTCGAGTTCTGGAAGAAGCAAACATAAAAATCATAGTAAAGAGAGACGACACCATAGCCAAGGTGAGAGTGAAGGGAAAGAAAGAAGTCAAAAGGAAAAGAAAAAGAGCAGTCGTCATCGTCATAGCAGACACAAAGAAGTAGAGAAACAGGGCAGCTCAAACAATGGCTCCATACAAACACAACAAATCCCTGACTATTTGCTATAGCATGAAACTTTGGAATGATATTTGTGAATCTATACCTTGTTTTTTTTTTCTTTTCAGAAACGAACAAGTTTTCTTCAATCTCCTGGAATATTGAGGTATGTTTTTTGTGATGGGCTTTTCTTAGATTTTGTCATGAAATTGTTATCTCACTGTGTTTGTGTTATTGTGTTGCAATTTCATATTTTCATGTAATCTATTCATTAATTATTTTCTTCACAATAAGTTTTAGTTAGTTTTCGATTTCTGTTGTGGTCTTGTGATCTCTATCGTTGTTGCTCTCCAGTCTATCCATCTCTGTTTGCGGGGTCAAAGATTTTGCTGTGCTTGTTCAGCCGGATATTTCCTCTTACTCCGTATTAATTTTAACATTTTCTCAATTCAGAAATTTCATACTCACTCTGTATCTTATATGTATACGTTGACACATTTTGACCATAAAACTATGTACATAAGTTAATTTGACTTCCTTTAATGACTTATACTTTAAGAAATAACATATTCATGTTGAGTCTCGTCAGAGTTGTCTAAATGTACCTTTTTTCAAGTATGAGTATCATTTTTTTTAAAAAAATACCTATTAATTTTGGAGACACATGTTAACTAATGTGAAACGGAAAAAGTTTTAATTACTCCCCGTCCCTTAATTGAGAGCATCTATTGCTTTCTCGGGTGCCCAAGCCTAGTTCTATTTAAATATTTTACTTTTTGAAAATAATCCCCTCTTTTTGATGAGTTGTTATCTTTATTTTGTACAAATGATGATTTTTTCTTCAATTAACACTTTTTCTCGTCCACTCTAGTAATTCCTAACCATTTTTTCAGTCTAATCCCACGTGCCATTATGCCAACCTGTACTCCCAATCAACTTTTTAAATTTCTTTTAAAAAAAATCCAAATAGACTCTTAATTAAGAGACAGAGAGAGTCCTATGTATCATTTACGGCAATGTGTTTTCTTCTATATCTTTTCCCCATCACACATGGTACCTCTTTTTAAGAAATCGAGAGAGCATGAAAAGTATTAAGAACATATTCTCTTCAATTTATTTTAGAAACTTATTCTTGTTGGAATTAGATAAGATCATAGTTTTTCCGCTTTTTTTAACTGCATCACTTTCCTAAAAAAAAAGTTTTAAATTAGCTGCTTTACTTCTTTTTTTTTAAAAAAAAAACTAATAAATTATCTTTATCTTTCTCCTACCGCATAGGCCCTATTTATTTTTTCTATCTATCTCTCTACTTCAAAAATTGTCTAAGAGTCTGTGAAAACAAAGTGATACAACTAAAAAACAGAGAAAGTATTAGAGTAGAATAATTCAGATTACACTAGATCATATTATATATTTTTTTTTATCTTATTTGCTTGTAGCTAAATGTCTTTAAGGGTCTGTTCTATTCAGCTTAATTTCAATTCAATTCAGCTCCAATCAGTTGATTTCAATTCATTTCCTAGTTTTCTTCTCTCATAAACAATTCATTTCATTTCAGTTCAGTTTATCTCCAACCAGTTCAGCTCTGCTATGTTAAGCAGAACATGTTTAATGCCTTGTTTAGTTCACCTTACTATTACTTATTTCAAAAAAAATAATTTCAGATCAGATCATCGTTTTACGTGCAATTTTTTGTCGCTAAATATCTTTAATTTGTACTGAAAATAATTATGAAAATCACATATTAAGAAAATACACATTATTACGAATCTAACAAGACCCCAATTGCTATATTTTTTTTTATAGATTATCGTATATTTAAGGTCAAAGTTTGGTCAAACATGACATTCAAATACACATTATTACGAATCTAACAAGACCCCAATTGCTGAACTTGTTCCCCGAGTCGAGGGTATCGCACTTCCTGCCATCCCCTCCCCAGACTCGTCGTTATCCCTCTCCTCCAACGGAGATGGAGGGTGCCTTGAAATTGCTAGACTCTCTCCGTCGGAAGGAGGAGTAGTTAATTCCGCCACCTCCAAGGCTTCTGGTTCACGAGGGTCTTCAATTACCAAAAAGAATGGAGGTCGTGCCCTTGGAGTTCGTCACTCGAGGTCACAACATCGAGGTTCCGTGTCGCCGTATAACTATGTTCGTAACCAAGGAGGAGGTAGTCGGGTTTCAAATTCAGGTGAGCTATTATCCTCGGCCAAACGGTGTTCCGGAGATCCCTCTTCTAATGACCCCGATCAAGCTGGAGGATGTGGGTCCAATGCAGGCGAAAGAATACTGGAAGGATTGGGACAACTTCTTCATCCCAATTCCAGCTCAAATATTTCCGAATAGTTGCTCGAAAACTATGTTCCATTCCAGCCTTAAATATGAAAATTATTGTTTGAAACGTTAGAGGTGCGAATAATGAGGAATTTGTTCCACATGCAAAGGATATAGTTGATTCTCATCACCCTAATATCTTTGTTTTTCTGGAAACAAAGGCTGTCTCCACGCGTGCTGCTCAAGTTTTAACAAAATTAGGGTTTGATAATTATAAGGCAATCAAACCAAATGCTAGTAGGGATCTTTTGGAAAAGTGGAGTGGATATCCTCTTCTTCTCAGATAAAGGAAATTTTTTTCATGGTCTCTTTCACTTTCGTAATGATATTCCAGAGGTTGTCATTACGGGAATGCATGCATCAAGCATCCCTAAGGAGAGGCATATTAACTGGCAGAATATGAAGGAGTTTATTCCTCCGGAGGAAACACCTTGGCTGCTATTAGGTGATCTTAACGAGGTCACTAATCAGTCTGAGAAATCTGGGGGAAGGGCTTTTAGGCAAAATCAATGCAAGGATTTCAAGGCTTTCACTGACAAAGCAGGTTTGGTTGATCTAGGTTTCAATGGTGGCCCATTTACTTGGACAAACACTAGGAAGGATAGTGCTCTTATTCGGTAGAGGCTTGATAGGGCGCTTTCCAGCATGTCTTGGTTGGATTTCTTTCCACACACTAAGGTATATCATCTTACTCGTACCAATTATTCTGATCATTGCCCTCTCTTAGTTGATATGACTAATCCAAGTGTCAACCCTTTGAGGTGCAAGGAGGTTTTGATAGAACACCCTGACTTTGCTAAGTTGTTTGGTTAATAATTGGTATTCTGCTAGTAATAATTTTTTGGAAGGTCTGGGTGATTTTAATAAGAATATTAGGTATTGGAATTCTAATATCTTTGGTAGTATTAAAAAAGAAAAAAAGAAAATCTTGCGTTTAGATGGAATTCAATATTATCTTGCCTATAATAAGTCGATTTTTCTAAGTAATTTGGAAAAAGATTTATTAGCTGTCTTAGAAAATATTCATAGAAGGGAAAGGATAATTTGGGCTCAAAAAGCCGTCATTAAATGGCGGAAATATGCAGATCACAGTACCAAATATTTTCATATTTTGGCCAAAATTAAAAAAAGTAAAGGAAAGATTTTAGCTTTAATGGATAATAATGGTATTTGGATTAAAGATTGTGGCAGATTAAAATCTTTAGCAACAGAACATTTTAAGGATATTTTTCAATCTCGTCTACAATCTTTTGTTACTAATATTAATTTTGAGCATGTTTGTAGTCTCACTGATTCTAATAGGACTGTTATATCCCGTCATCCTTCTTTTGATGAGATTAAAGAAAGCTTGTTTAACATGAATCCAATGAAGTGCCCTGGACCGGATGGTGTGCAACCTAAATTTTTTCAACATTTCTGGGCTGACTTAGGTAACTCAATTTGTAGCTTTGTTAGGAATTGCTTTGAGTCCTGTGAGATCCGTGGGGAGGTTAACCACTCTTACATAGCCTTGATTCCAAAGATTGACAACCCTTCTAAAATATCTGAATTTAGACTAATTGGTCTGTGTAACACACGCTATAAATTGATTACCAAATTGATTTCTAATAGAATAAAACCTTTTCTCTCAAATATTATTAATCCTCTTCAATCAAGCTTTATTCCGGGTCGTGGTATAGAGGACAATGTTATAGTGGTTAAGGAGGTTGCACATGTTTTTAAGAAAGCTAAGAAAGGGAAGAATACTTGTGCTTTAAAGCTTGATCTCACTAAGGCTTATTATAGCCTTGAATAGCCGTTTATTGAGGATACTTTGAGATATTTTGGATTTCCAGCTAACCTTAGTAAGCTAATCATGTATTGCATTTGCATCCCTAGAATAGCTGTTTTGTGGAATGGTGAAATATGTGATTATTTTACCCCTTCTCGTGGTATTAGGCAGGGTGATCCATTATCCTCCTATATCTTTGTTTTGTGCCTTGAAAGGCTTTCAATAGTGATTGAGAATCATGTTAAAAGAGGTTTTTGGAAGCCTATTAGAATCACCCCTTCAATCTTTACGTCCCACATATTCTATGCGGATGATGTGTTTTTATTTGGGAATTCTTCAATTCAAAATGTCACAGAAATGCTGAATATTATCAATAATTTTGGTGACTTATCAGGCTTGAGGATCAATCAGAGTAAATCTTCCATGATTTTTCCTACAAAAATGAACCATGCTATGAGGACTCATACTGCCGATTATTTTGGTTTCAAATGCTCCACTTCTTTTGGTAGATATTTGGGTATAGAGATCAGTCCAAACAAGCTCAAGGCCTCTCATTATTTTTGTCTTTTAGACAAAACCATGGATAGAATTAGGGGATGGCAAGCCAAGCTTTTAAATCTAGTTGGAAGGTGTACCTTGATTAAATCAGTTTTAAATTCCTATCCAGTGTATCACATGCAAACCAATCTTATCCCCTTCTCAGTTTTAGATAAGCTTGAACAAAGATGTAGGAAATTCTTTTGGAATAAGGTGGATAATATTCACTATAGGCCAAGATTAGGATGGAAATTTGTTACCATGCCTCTAGCTGCCGGTGGTTTAGGAGTTAGAAGACTTAGAGATTGGAATGTTTGTTTCATGGCTAAGCTTGGGTGGTCTTTGCTGAATAATTCCTCTAAACTTTGGGTAAGAATTTTCAATGAGAAATATTTAAAGAATTCAGCTTTCTTTGACTGCTCTCCTAAGTCTTCTCATTCCCAAATTTGGAAGGACATTCTTAAGGGTAGGAAGCTCCTTACTTCAGGTTTGAAAATTGGAATAGGTGATGGGTCCACTACTTCATTATGGTTTCATCATTGGGTAGGTAAATCTTCCATTCACATTCTTTTAAATTCAGAAGTTCCACCAAGTAAAGCTCATTGGTTTGTGAAGGATGTTATTAGGAATGGGGAATGGTATCTTGATGAGATTAGGCATTTACTTCCTCTTCCTTTAATTTCTGAAATTCTTGCTACTCCTATATCTAAGTTCTCAGTGTGAGGATTTTATTCAATGGCCAGCTTCCAAATCAGGAGTCTTTACTATTAAGTCTGCATACCATTCTCTAATTTCTCCTTCTTATGCTAATTTTTCCTATTTTCAACTCATGGAAACACAATTTGGAAAATTACTGTGCCTACTGAATATAAAACAGATTTTTCACCAAATACCACTGAGTTAAAGCTTAATTCACCTTATACCATAGAAAACTTTCTAATACACCGTATAACCTTCAGTTTAACTAAAATGTCACAACATGCCATTAATGACTAACAGACGTTAACACCGTTAGTCATTAAGGCTAATAAGGTCACGTGGCAACATATGATTGGTTCCCTTTTAAATTACTTAATTTTAAAATAATTATATAATTTTAATTAAAAAAATAAAAAAAAAAGAAAAAGAAAAAAACCCAGCCACCCACGTCTCTCCAGCCACCACCGTCCCTCCAGCCACCCACGTCCCTCCACCCAGCTAGCCACCACCGGTCGGCGAAAAACTCGACCATAACCCTTGCGCCGGCGCCGAATTCCGACCACAACCCCTGCACTGACCTGAAATTCGACGATAATACCCCCGTCGGGCCGCCGTACTCCCTTTCTCTTGAACCACCGGCGAAATCCTAGAAGAACAATCAAACCACCGGTCGCGAAACAGTCCATCTCCCTCGAAGAACCCTTCGCTAACCATCGGTCAGCGCCCAAACCCCCCTCCCCCGCGCCGACGAATCAATTTTTCCCCTATTGGTGCCATTTCCACCCCAAACTAAACCACCACGTATGTCGAAATCCTAAAACCAAAATCTAGGGTTTCGATTTTGGTGTTTCAGGGTTTAGGGGTGGTGGTTTTCGGCAAGGTGGGCGGCGGCGACGTGTGGGAGTGGATTTAGGCTGCCGCGCGAAGGTGGTGGCTGGAGATTTTGGGAGGGAAAGGGGAATTCGTAGGTGGTGCTTGGGAATTCGAGAGGGATAGGGATACTCGCAGGTGGTGGCTGGGAATTCCGGAGGGAAAGGTGGCTGGGGTCGGGAATTTCACTGGCGGGGAGGGGGGACGATCGCCGGCCAGCTGGGCGTAGGGTCAGGGCTAGGCTGGTGGCAGCGGTGGCTAAGGTGGTGGTGTTTTTTTTTTTAAAAAAATTTAAAATAATTTCTCTAAAGTTAGTTAATTAAATAAAGAATATTAATAAGAACCAATTATAAGCTGCCATGTGGCACAATTAACGTTAATGACTAACTGAGTTAACGGAAAGGGCAAGTTGTGAAATTTTCATAAAACTGAAGGTTATATGGTGTATTAGAAAGTTTTCTATGGTATATGTTGAATTAAGCTTTAACTCACTGGTATATGGTGAAAAATCCGAATATAAAATGTTGCTCTGGAATATCATGCATACTATCCTCCCTGTAGCTGAAAAATTAGCTATCATCCTTCCTATTATATCCCCTATATGTGCTCGGTGTAACCTATACAGTGAATCACACTTGCATTTATTTAGGGACTGTTATTCATCTTCAATATTATGGAAGGATATATTTGCTAAACTCCCCTTGCCAATTAATTTTTATTTTCATAATTTTTTTGGTTTGGATTGGATGGATTGGTTGAAGTTTAATCTTGATTATGATAGTCATTGGAGGATGTCTTTTACTATTGCTCTTTGGCATATTTGGAAACATAGGAATATTGCTGTGTTTGACCTTAAAATGTTTCACTCGAGAGTGGTGTTTAGTAGATTTATCATACACTACCAATGTACTAATCATATTATGCAGGGTAAAGCAATAGTTTCAGGTATGCCAAGCAGCTCAAGAACTTTGAAAACTTGGAGCCCACCCAAAGTTATTAAAATCGGGATTCTACTTTGAATCGAAAGGGCCTCTTAGAATCGAATCGTAAAATCGAATAGTAGAATCGTAAGATTCTACAAACACGCATAATCAAGACGTCATATCCAAATTTAATTGAAATTATTTAAATTTTAAGTTTAAAACCTAATTATTAATAGAAAATAGTTGTTTATTCACTAAGCAACCAATAATTGACAATATATACTTATAAATAACGTTGTAGGCATGTTTTAAACTTGTAAGGTTTTCATTAATTAAGAGAATACATAGAATCGGGTAGAATCGTAAATCGAATCGTATGACATACATAAATCGTAAAATCATAAGATTCTAAGATTTAAATCAGGATTTTAATAGCAATGAGTCCACCTCCTCAAGGAAGGGTAAAAATCAACATGGATGGTGCTTGGGTTTCAATCAATGTCGCTGCAGGGGGTGGGGATGTAAGGAAGGATGATGGTACTTGGATTATGGGGTTTTCAAGCAAGTACAATGTTGTTATTGCTTTTGCTTCGGAATTGCTTGCGGTTAGGGAGGGGTTAGCCATGGTGAAGAGGCTTTAAATGAAGGAAGTAAAGCTGGAGGTTGATGCTCTTTCATTGAGGGTTATGCTCAAGTCTGCTGGTAACAACATTCACCACAAACTTGCTGCTGTAATTAAGGATATTGAGGAAATCATCAAGTACTTTGATGTTTTTGACATTACTCATGTTCAGAGGGACTATAATGCAGTGGCACATGAACTGGCGGTCATTGGTCTTGAGATGAGTATAGGTCACACTCTTCATATGGTGTGTCCTGACAAAATTAGACCTATCTATGAGGAGGAGCAGGCTGCGATAGCTGCGGCAGCTGCTGCTGGAAATGATGACTAGTTCCTCAAGTTCCAAACACTTGCTTAACAACAAGTTTTTTTAACTGTTTTTATGTTTATTTTGTTGCTTTTCGGAGGTGCACTATTTCTATTCTAGGTAGAATGATCTCTAATTTTGTTAAGGTTTTTCTGAGATCATGTATTTTAGCTATTAAGCATGCTTCTAATTTTACTTACGGAATGAAGCTGCTTGTATTTATATGTTGTAAACGTTTTAAGTAATTAATATTATCGTCTTCTTTGTGTTAAAAAAAAGAGTATTTTCAACGTGACCAATATTTAAAAGTCATCAAACAAGTTGTAGTAAATAAGATGTAAGAGTGTTGGAGTCATGGACTTAAAAAACAAAAGCTAAAATAAAATTAAAAAAAAAAAGCGCTCAAATAGAGGTGGTCATCAATTTGGACAAATCTAAAAATGTATTATTACAAAATCTTGGTACAACCCAATTTTTTAATCACTTCTAAGCCCAATCACAAAATTGGTAGCCTTATACTATAACCGGTTTTTGCAAGGGCCCGTTAAATTTCTCTAGAAATGTCGATAGTATGTAAGTAACTATAATTAAATCGTCGGTCAAGAATGCTGGCATGATTAGAATTATACATAAAAAAAAATAACAGAGCGGAGGTGTCCTTTTGCTGACTATTCAATTCATAATGTACGCTCTTCTAAAGAAACGCAAGGCGTCTAAGCTGCTATTCTTAGACTTGCTCATTCCTTTACTTCTGTGAACTTTCCACCTCAGCAACGCTACCTTATTTAAGCCACTCTTTTTTCACATATACACATCATCTGTTTTTTTTTCTTCCTTTTATAAATTTCAAATTTAGCAACATTTTTATTTTTCTCTTCTTACACAATGAAGAACAACATACCAACAATACCCACTTCATCATACAAACTCCTAAACATACAAATTAACCTTAATAATTTAATCTCTTACTTAGTCATTTTCGCTTTCGGGTTAACCATTGGTAGTACATTCTTTAGCCATGATACATCTTCAAGTTATACACTTCCTCTAAATAATATTGAGCTTCTTAACTTCACGGCCGCTGTCTCGGATAATGATTTTGATGTTCCGGTGTCGGGATCGAATGCTACGACGATCAATGACACGGTTATGCATGATATGGAGGATGATGAATTGTTATGGAGAGCATCAATGGTGCCAAAATTAGGTGGAGGTGATTATCCTTCAAATTTTGTGAAAAAAAAGATTGCTTTTATGTTTTTGGTTAGAGGTCCATTACCATTAGCACCTCTTTGGGAAATGTTCTTTAAAGGTCATGAAGATCTTTATAACATTTATATTCATTCTCATCCTTCTTATAATCAATCTCTTCCAAGCAATTCAGTCTTCCATGGCAGGAGAATACCCAGTAAGGTTAGTTTCATGTTTCCATGATTAATACTCGCTTTATTTCAGTTTGCTTACTAAATAGTATCTTTGTTAAGATTTAGTTGTCATGTTACCTGTTTAGTTTGTATCATCAACTAACACGACAAATAAATCTAGGCGGAGGAAGTATTTGTTTTCAATTCCAATTTTGTTGCCTACTTGTTCTGTTCTGTTATGTCCAAATTTATAAATAGAAGAATGTATGTTTTTTTGTTAAAAAAAAAAATTATGATTAATGTGGTATTATATTGCAATAGTAGATGAAATTAATTAAATATACTATTATTGGAAATCCATAGAAGTAGGATTGTAATATGAAGACTAAGTCTAGATGATATGCTTCATTTTCATCAATTTTTCCCTTAGTTAGGCCAAATTAGGGACTAGAGGAATTTGTTGCAGTGAAAATCTCATCAAATTCACATTTTTGGGAAGAAAGAATTTGCGTTGTTTTGGGATTTCTTTTACTTGGTCAAGTGGAGTGTCGTTGTTTTGTTGATTTATTGACATTTTGTGTATTACAACCACATTCATTCAATGTAAATTAATTACTACTAGTAATGTATTAATTAATAATTAATAAATGCAGTGCAAAATTTAGTTAATTTAATTTCAAAGTGAAATCAAGAATCTTGTAAGGCCTTGCTAAAACCCTTGAAGCACATTTCCGCTAGATATTGCGGACCATTTCTGTAAATTAAAAATCGCAAATGTCTAAGTTTGTTTTTTTAGAATAAGATAAGATAGATTAGTTTACATTACATGTATTACATTATCCTAGAACCATTAAATTTTTTTTTTTTTCCTAGCCATAAGTTTTATCCCTCACAGTCTCGCTTATGGAACTTTGATTTCAACTTCTTGTGTGTTAACTAATAAGATTTAATGTAAATTCGATCTATTAGGCTACTTTAATACTCGTAATGATTGAAGTCGATAAATATACACAATGTAGTATTTTTTTTTTTTTTTTTTGAATGTTTGAGTCAATTAAGTAAAAAAAAGTTTTGAAAAGAAGTAACAATAATAATTTTTAAAGGGGGAAAAAAAAAAGACATAAGTGTAATATATACATAGATAGTAAGACCTTATTCTTTTGAGCTAAATAAAGAAAAATGAATTAATCTAATTTAAATTGAAAATAAAAGTCCTAAAGAACTTAATACAAGTGAAACAGTGCAAATATTGTAAAAATTCTAAAGTAAAGAATTGTTATAAATTAAGATATCAAATGTTAAAATTTGTAATCTAAATTAAAATAGGAAAAATCATAGAAGATACATGAATAGTAGAAATAGTGAAAATGAATTCAACATATTACACAACTTGAATATCTTACTTTGGTCAATTCCTTTTGATCAACTTATCATTAATCACATGATTCACACAACAATGACAAAATCAATGCAATGTTATTTGTCACTTTATAGCATCAATATACCTTAGCTAATTTTTTGTAGTGACAAAAATATTACTCAGTAATAAATTACAAAGTACAATCTTAAATGCAACAATAATATCATCAAACCATGGTATAATTTTTAACTTACCAAATAAATTAAATGTTGTTGGAAATTTTGTGTAACCAATGCTATTCCAATACGCAAATCCATTAATGAGAATAATTAAAACTACATTAGGCAGTTTTAATAGCAGAATTAATAAAGAATATTGTATGTCCTACACTTTACACACCAACCAGATTTTAAATTAGCAAAGAAACGAACAAAATATGTTCAAAGAATCAAGCAAAGTATTAAACTGATACGGCAAATCAGTCCATTAATTCATTGATAAGTAAAGTCTTTAAACACACTTTATTCAAAAAATATACATGTAATTTTTATTTTTATTAAAGTAAAATGGTGATTTGTCGCAAGAATGTTGGCTTAAAAGACTCTGTAAATCACTAATACCAAAAATCCCTTTGTCACCTTAAAAATCGCCGTTATGAAATTGGTGCCTCTAATTCATATTTTTAAAATTAATTTCACATGGAATTGATTATTGCGTAATTTAATAATATGTGGGAGACATACTCTTAATTAATTCAAATAATTAAATGGGCCTACCACAAGTAAAGCTGTTAGCTATCACTTTCCTTAGATATGTTCATTAAAAAGGTCAATAAAGTTGCCTTAAATTACTTTCGTTATTAGTATACGTGTGCGGGGTGTGTTCATCGTTCTACGATTGAATTGTACGATTTAAAACGCGTTGCATGACTTCTTTTAAATGAACATGTGCTAGTGTTATGCCCATTTTATTCATAGGACCATTCATGAATCATAATTTCTCAAACCTTTAATCATTGGTCCTTTTTTATTCACTCCGGCATTACGGTTTTTCCGGGTGGATTCAGGATTTTAAACATGAGATAAATGACTAAGGACATTAAGGGAATTTTTATTAGTTTTTATTTTATTTTTATTTTTTATGGGTGCATTAATACATAGTTGAAAGCGCAAATACCACATAACAAAAGATAGATAAATATTAGCATAAAAAAAATAAAAAATAGGTTTTTTTTTTTTTTTTTTTTTTGGTTTGTTTTTTCTTTCTTTCGTCTTTTCTGAATTGTCAATAAACACACCATTATTATTATTATGTGTAGTTTCATCTAGCATTTCATTAGTAATGGAAGTTTTATTGTTACAAAAATATAAATAAATTGATCGTTAATCTCATTTGTTTTCCAACAACAGATAGAGCTTTGATGGTTAAACATTATGAAATCATGGTTTTAGTTTGTAGACAACATTTTTTTAAGGTCATGTTTTAGGGCTTGTTCACATTTACTGAACTGAGCTGAATTGAACTGAACTGAACGGATTGGAGCTGAACTGAACTGAATTGATTAGATCTGAACTGAAATAGGCTGAAATGAATATTTTAGGAGAGAGGAAAATTAAGGGCTGAACTGAACTGATTGGAGCTGAACTGAACTGAAATTGAGTAAATGTAAACAGACCCTTAGTCTTGTGTTATGGGCATATAAACCATCTTTAACATTCAAACATAAAAGTTAAGATGATAGTAGTGATGTTGTGAATTTGTAATATTTAGAAAAGATGTTACATTTATTATTGATTATATGTTGTATATAATTTATATTGATCTGATTCTGTAATTTTGTTGAATGAAGGATGTTGAATGGGGCCAATTTAACATGGTTGAAGCAGAACGTCGCCTACTAGCAAACGCTCTTCTAGACGTATCAAACCAACGGTTCATTCTCTTATCAGAATCATGTATACCACTCTTCAATTTCTCCACAGTTTATTCATACCTCGTAAATTCGAACAAGAGTCACGTAGAGGCATACGATTTACCCGGTCCAGTAGGCCGTGGGCGTTACAGCCATTACATGATGCCACAAGTAACGTTGTCGCAATGGCGAAAAGGATCCCAATGGTTCGAGATGGATCGTACCCTAGCACTCGAAGTTGTGTCGGACCAAGAGTACTTCCCATTGTTCCAAAAATTTTGCACTCGCGCATGCTATGGTGATGAACATTATTTACCCACATTTATAAGCATTAAGTATTCATGGATGAATTCTAATAGGAGCATAACATGGGTTGATTGGTCGAAAACCGGGCCTCATCCCGGTGTGTTTCAAAGGCCTCATGTTACTCCTGAACTCCTTAATACCATGAGAAGTAATGGCACTTGTGAGTATAATGGGGAAAAGACCGATGTTTGCTTCTTGTTTGCAAGAAAATTCATGCCTGGTACTCTAACAAGGTTGTTAAGATTTGCTCCACAAATTATGAAGTTCAAATAAAACTTAGTGTAAATTTTGTGAATGTGCATTGGATCCGAGATGTTAAATATTTAGTCGGCTAGTTTACTAGATACTTAGAGATTTAGGAAACACATTTGTTGGTTTATCATTATTTCTTTAATTTTTTTTATTGTATATTTGTTGTTTCACATGAAAGAAACGAAGCATAGGATGGTGATTGGTGAATGGGTGATAGGTGATGGCCGGTGTTTTGTAATCTAAAATAAAACTAGTATATAATTGTACCGTATATTTCTCATGAAAATGGTTTCTTAATGTTCATCAACTTTATGCTATAGAAATTTTGTCTATGATTTTTATTTTATTTTTTAGGTAATATTCTCTCCGTTTCATAATGTTAATCCCATATAAAATCAATCACATAAAATAAGAAAACAAATATATTTGAAATCTAACATTAAAGTACAACAGATTTCATAATTAGTTTATCTTATTTAAATTTTTTTAATTTTTCATTAGGAAAGCACAAGTTATAATTGCATAATTAAAGGTGAAAATTTCCTTACTTAGAGTCATGTTATCAATTTACATTAAATTAATTCAAAAAAAAAATCAAGTGATAAATGAAATATATTCAATATGGGTAGATCTTTTAGAATCACCCAAAATAATATATGAGATTAACATTATGAAACGGAGGGAGTACTATATACAACCCTAATATACTTTTTTTTTTCTGGTATTAAGTTGGAAATTTATCGAAAATTCACGAGTAAATCAGTGTAATAAATGTTTATTTATTATTAATTCTTTTCATTTTAGTGTATATATCTTTTTACTTATTTTTTATATGTATTGTGCTGCAATTAATTTTAACCAAAACTTCTTATTTTTCCAAATTTGTACTTGACTAGTTGACACTATTTTAGCAAGGTAATGGGTGATAAAATTACCATCCCTCTTAATATGTGGGTATTATAGGAGGAGCATACAAAGCTCATGAAATGAATATCGATCACAACAACAAAGCACCGACTTCAGCTCTTCTAATTTAGTGCAAACGTCTCATTTACAATTGTCAATAATTGTATGGCTATTTGTAGGTGTGGATTTGCCTACACAAAATAAATGATGATGCATCCGTTTCAATTTTATTTTATTTTTTGGCTTGCATCCGTTTCAAATTTGAATGTGCTTGGTGTAAGATTAGCTTTTTCTTAAGGCAATAGTTTGGAAAAAGTAGGGAGTCGTTAACAAATTTTTTGGAAAGATTTGTAAACCTATTTCCATTGATCTAACCAAAAGGAACATCGAAAAATATTGTGTAGAACAGATTCACGTGAATCTGTCTTATTTGATTGGCCCACATGTGGCTCGTTTACTTAAAGTTTGGCCCTTGAGCGGCTCGTCATTTAAATATCCATGAATTTCAAAATCAATACCAAAGTTCGCCTTTCTCCTTCTTCTTATCCACGTTTTCTGCATTATCACTCCATTTTCGTCAATTACACTCCATTACTATCGAATTAACTCCATTTTCCCGAATAATTTGCATCACTACTTCATTTTTCAACATTAAAATTAGTTGCATGTAATTAGTTATAAGTTCTTTGGTTCTTATATATAAACCCTGACGTTCGTCATTCTTGACTACATAATGTCTGACAATTTCGCCGATTAAAGATTCTTCGCCCTTAAAAGTTTATCATAAACGAAGTAAACAACCATGAAAACAGGACAAGACAGTTACAATGGCTGAAAGGTTTATTACATTTCAATTATTTAGGTTATACTTTTATTTTTTTGAAATCCTTTTTTATAACTTATTTTTTTTATTTGCAAGATCCTTATTTATAACTTTTTTTTTATTATTTGCAAGGATCATTCTAAAGCTGCATTGAAGAAGCGTGGTCCTAAGTCTGGTTCTAAACGAAGTCAAGCTGTAAGGTTTGAAATTCTTTCTATTTATTTCGTAAAAAGTCTTGTTTGGATAGAGTATTCGTTGTTTGATACTATAATATCTTTGTTAGGAAACAGAGAATTTTTTGTTTGATGTAGAATATTCTTGTCTGGAATTATCTTATTGTTGTCTGATATTATATTGTTGTAATTTAATATAATGGATTATTGTTATCAGGTGTTACAATTACTTTGTCAGGAATTACATTATTTTTATCAGAAATTAGCTTATTATTTTTTGATAAATCATACTTACAAATTAGATTTTCTGCCTTGTGACAAGGGAATAAACGTGTCGTCAATTGTCTATCCCTAGATCAAATACAATTTATACAACCTATACAAACCTAATACGAGTATAAAGCAAGCATAGGGGTCGAACCACAGGGAACGGATAAACACCACTAAATGTTATCGACAATTAAGCTAGTCCGAAATAGGAGATAAATAAACTAAAGTCTAAAGATGCTAAAATAAGAAATAAAACACTAAGATGAAAAGAAAGCAGTAAAAATAGAGGAGAGAGAGGTAGAGATTCTCATTGATTGAAGATGAAAGTTTATAGAAAAGATGAACAATTCCTTCTTCAAAATCCAAACTCAACAATGGTGAAACCCTTACATTCTCTCTCTAAACTACCCTAATCCTAACCTAAACCTAGAGAGAGAAGCTCTCCTAAAAACTAATTAGATAATAGAATAAAAAAAAGAAATAAAAATAAAAGAAAAAGAAAAATTAAAATAAAATCCCCCAAATTCCACAAAACAAATCAGACTTTTTTTTTTCTCCTTCGATTTCCTGGCTGCTTGAAATCCATTGAAGCACCATTTCATCACCACCGTTCATCAACCATCATCATCAAATCGTCACCGCTCATCCTCCTCATTTATCATCAAGCATCAAATAAAATCCGTCCGATCTTCATTAATTATCACGCGCGAAGCTCGTGAAATGCATGGTTCGATCGAACCGAGGGTTGGTGTGGCCGAACTACGGGGTTGGTTCGGTCGAACCATGGGTGTGTTCGACCACACCTCTTCAGATTACTCCCTCCATTCCACAATGATGTTCCTGTTTTGAATCTTTGACTTTTTTAAGAAAGAGAGAATCTTCTAAATTTCTCTTAATCTATAAGAGCAAATATAGTCATGTGGGATCTAGTTTAATTCGTCTTGGTGAGTAGATTATTAATATCTAACTTTTATAATTTTTACTAGTGTGAGATTAAAGATATTTGCGGTCAAAGATGGGTAAAATTTTGCATCGATTTGTGAAACAGGAACATCATTATGAAACGGAGAGAGTACAAAACCTCAAAAGTTTCTGATTGTTTTGACATTTTTTTGCATTTCGACCAAACCCTCAACGGTTTGCTCGAACCCGATTGATTTGCTATTTGCTCTGATTTTGGGCGCTTGATTGAAGGGTTGAGTAATTGTGGTGGATGCGGAGATTGGGTGGCTGAAATTGAGGGGTTGTTCTGGTGTTGCTGTGTGGTGGTTAGATATTGAGGGTGAGAAGGTGAGCTGGCGCGGGCTGGTGCTGATTGTTGACGGTGGTGTAGGCGGTTTGTTGTTGTGGGTTGCACGGTGGCCGGAAATTGCGCGGCTGCTACTGCAATTGAAGGTTGGACTGGTGGCATGGTTGGTTGGAGTTGCGGGTGCAGGTGGATGGTGGTGCAGGGGTTGTTGTGTTTGTTGCTATTGCTGTTGCAGTTGGGGTGGTGTAGGATAGTGAGGAAGTGGCTGCGGTGTGTGGTACGGTGGTTTGGGTGGCTGCTGTGGCTGCTAGGTGTGTGGAGCAGGGAATTTGAGAGGTGGAGCTGCTGTGTGCGTGAGGGAGCAGGGGAATTGGTGTGGTGATGGTGGTTAAGAAGGTGGGGTGATGGATAAGAGGTGGGCAGCAGCCAGCAAAGTAAAGGCACACACTTTGTCTCGTCCCCGAATTCTGAACTCACTTGACATGAAACCCGGGACCCTACACACAAAACCGAGAATAGATTTGGGACAAAGAATAAAATAAAAGAAATAAAATAGAAAATAAAAGAAATAACACTAAACTAATAAAAATTAAATAAAACTATACAAGTAAATAAAATCAAATAAATAACAAAATAAACTTACAACTAATAAAAACTATGAAAGTAACAAAGAAAAGGAACGAAATAAAATAAATCGAAAGCAAATAAAATACGAAAATAAACTAGAAACCAATTAAATAAAGAAATTAAATTAAAACATACTAAAACTAAGAAATAAACTAGAAACTTTATTAAAAAGAAAATAAGAGAATAAAAGGGAAAATAAGGTAAAATAAACACGAAAATGACTCTAAAAATACTTCCTAAGAGTGAAATAAATGTCACTCATCAATTCCCCCAAGGTAAACCTTTTCTCGTCCTCGAGCAAAGCTAAGGCAAAAGAGAACAAGATGGATTTATTGAAAGAAAAAGAAATAAAATAGAAACAAAGAGAAAGAATGTACACTAACTCACTGCCGTAGGAATCACAGATGCATATAACGTATGCATCAAGCCCTTTAAACCCCCATGTCGCCAAAGAGGACGAGTAAGCTCTTGTGAGGGTTTCCTAAGAGGTTTAACCCACAACTCTCGACAAAAACCAAGGCAAGGCAACAAATGGAAAAAGAGAAGAAACATGAAAAGATAAAACAAACACAAGCTCATGTATGGACAAAAGATAGGGACAAGTACTAATGAATGCAAACCTTTTTAAATGGACAAATGTATGCACGTTCCAAGATGTCAATGGTTGATAGAAACATAACACATGCTAAGCATAGAGAACTACTTAGGACTCAATCCACCCTAGCCCCAACCAATCGGGCCACGTTCTCTCCACTAGCTTCAAATCAACCCTTAAGCTAGCTTCTCAAGATTCCACGAAGGAACCGGAAAAAGATAAAGAAATGAAAAACTTTGAGAAGGTAATCCCGACGTCTTAACTATGCATACTCTTTCCATAGGTTTGAAGTCTATCTCCCTCCACCGTTCCTTTGACCTAACCCACTAGAGTCTAAGGGTCTTTTTATTGGTAGTAACGTAAGGCTAAGGGTTAAGGCGGGGTAAAAATTTGAAATTTGGTGATATTTCCTAAGTGAAGCAAAAAGTGCAGCCGACACTCAAAAACAGCTCAAGAAGTCACTAAATATCAAACAAAAATACCAATAGTGCCACTCCCCCAAGCTTATTCAACACCAACACACAATATATACAAAATGAAGGAACGATCCCCCCCCCCAAACTTGCACAAAGCATTGTCCCCAATGCTTAAACTAGGGAAGAAAACGAAACCATCAAAAATATTTTTATTATTTTTGTTTCTT